AACTACAAAGAAGATTGTGCTGAGGCTTGAATGTGTTGAGCCCAACTGCTGATCTAAGAGAACGCTGGCTATTAAGAGATGTGAGCATTTTGAACTGGGAGGAGATAAGAAGAGAAAGGGTCAAGTGATCTAGTTCTAAGCATCATCTTTTTTATTATGAAGACGACAAAATCTTGAGGTGAATGTTCACCTCATTTGATTACAGTTGGTCTTTTTGTGAGGAAATAATCAATAAAATTCCTCTTCTGGGGAAATTTGATTCATGGTAAAAAAAAACAACAACAACAAACAAAACAAAACAAACAAACAAACAAACGATTGCCAACTCTCCATTAACCTTGTTTTGTAGAACTACTGTCAGAGATCCAAGGCTCTTCCTACCTCACTGCTATGGCTTGAATGAGTTCCCCAAAGTTCATGTTTTGTAAACTTGATCCTCAATGCAGTAATGTTCAGAGGTGGTGCCTAATGGAAGGCATTTGGGTCCTGGGGACGCTGCCTGCATGAATAGATTAATGCTGCAATTGATGAAGTGGTTTGTTATTTTGAGAGTAGGTCCATTATCAAAGAATGGGTTTGACCCCTTCTTGTTCTCTCTTCACCCTCTCTTTGACCTTCCACCATGGGATGATGCAGCAAGAAGGCCCTCACAAGATGCTAGTCCCTCAGTCTTGGACTTTCTAGCCTCCAAAACTGTGAGCCAATACGTTTCTCTTCTGCATGTGGTATCCCGTTACAGCAGCACAAAATGGGTAAAACCATCTCCTTCCCAGAAGCCAGCCCTCCATTGCATTCTGATGGCTCTCGCAGCTTTCCCTGGCTTATTTTTCCCTCATACATGTTTTCCTCAATAAATTTCTGGAATGTTCAATTCTTAGTGTTTGCTTCTCAGAGTACCCAAAGTATCATACATGGTGCCCAGAGTGTTCTAAAAACATAGGCACTTCTAAGACAGTTCTATCACTGTTGGAGAGGCAAAAAGGTTGATGTCCTTGTAGCATTTAGGATGCAGATAGTATGTGGCATTCCATTGCTAAAGATTTACCAGAAGTGACTTCGGAGAGTCCCAAGGAAGAAGAATACCTTTATCAGTCCTGAGATTTAAGCACTTTTTAGGGGAAAAAAATATTAACAGACTCAAGAATGGGAAGTTATGTTGGAGATGATGTATGGTAATCTCTTTGACTTAAATTGACATGCAATTCATATATGCCTTGAAAAACCATATTGTATGCTATAAAGACATACAATAATGACTTTTGGGGACAAATAACTGAGACCTGCTGGGAACAGGATTTCTAAAAGGCAAGTATGTCTGAAAGGCTGTGGTCCAAGGATGCTTTTGCTGGCTATAAGTGGGGTCTCAGGAACCAAAGGGAGCACACAGCTCTTCCTAAAATTGAAGGTGTTTATGCATGAGATGATACAGAATTCTATTTAGGCAAGAGGTGTGCTTATGTGTACAAAGCAAAACACAATTCAGTGACTCCTAGTGGCAAACCAAATAAAACCAGAGTAATCTGGGGAAAGTTACTCATGCCCATGGAAACGGTGGCATGGTTCGAGCCAAATTCCAAAGCAACCTTCCTGCTAAAGCCATTGGACACAGAATCTGTGTGATACTATACCCCTCAAGGATTTAAAATAATAAAAAGTAAATGAATAAAAATGGATTTGTGTTTTAAAAAAAGACATACAATGATTAAACATAAATAAAATATATAAACATTTTTACTACAATATGAAAAAAGATCCATGGAGAAATGATGCTTGCAAGTGTCAGAGGTGGCCATAAGTTGTACTGATGTCCTACAGAAGAGTACTTAGAAACTGAGGGCCATTATCAATCAGTTAAAGACTAGATGTGAGAGCCGTAGGACCTCTCTGCTAGCTTACAAAGGTGCCCTTATCTCCTGCAGTGAAAGAGGAGGCTCGGTTAGGCAACATATGAAATGGACGAGGATACCTCTGTAAAGGATGAGATAATAAATATTTTAGGCTTTGCAGAGTGTATAAGGTCATTGTCACATATTCTTTATTTTTAGAACACTTTAAAAATGTAAAAGTCATCTTTAGCTTATGGATTATACAAAACAGAGGCTTTCGGGAGGATCTGGCCTGTGGACCATAGTTTGACATCCTTGAAACAAAAAAAATGACAACATTGAAGACATTCAGATGTGTTTCAATCTAAGCAAAGAGACAGGTAGTTAAGATTAGGGTCCTGGTTGCAAAAATCTATCAGGTTTAAAAATAGGATGGAGAAATCCAGACGAAGACCTCTGAAGATTTTGGCAGAGCGGATACCCTGGACTCTCAGGACTTGCATCCCCCACACCTAGCAGGAGGTGACACTTCCACTATGCTGTGAAGATTCTTCCCAAAGCATTAGGTGCCCCTCAGACCTGTCCCATCTCTCTCTCAGCAGGTAGATCAGTAACCAGGCTGTGACATGCTAGGTCTGATAAAGGAGGAAAGAGACTATACGCTGAAATGGCACATGGAAATAGCTGGTATTAACTAGAAGGAGGTAGAAGAGTACCCCTGAGACTAGATGGGAATACTGACCAAGAAAGCTAAAATACAAAACTGGATAAGCAAGAATCCATGGACTTCGAGGTCTACCTTCGGGATGGGACCTGATACTCTGGCAAGGACCCTCAGAAGTTGGGACAAACTTGCTGCTAGAGTGGCTCTTAAGAGACCTGAAATAAGGGATGACTAATGATGACTGAAAGAAGTAGAAAAGCCAAGCTGATAAACATGGGCAGCTAGAATAGATCCGAGTCAGGAACCCATCAGAGGATGATGTAGCCTAAGAGTGCTGAGATGATGCACGGCTCACAAGGGCATCAGACATGTGCTGGTGAGAATGGCACTAGCATCACCAAGTTCTGTGAGAGTCTCCTCTGCAGGCATGGGTGGACTAGATTAAGTGATCACATTCTATGGAATGACTTGCCAACCAGCTGTCTGCAGCCCAGGTTATGACCACGTAGAGTTGTTTAACCACAGAAGCCAAAAGGCACTAGATAATGATCAGTAAGGTTGACGAGGGACCCAAGGGGAACTGTAGAAATGGTTAAGAGGCTCAAATGCATATGAGCGAAATAGATAGGTAGCCAGCAAGAAAACTACTTAACATCGACAACAAAAAAGGGTAAGAATAGAGGATCAGGAGGCTAAGGATAGTCATCCCAAATAAACATCATGATAATTGCTTAGTTCATAAACCTGAGTCAATAATATTCCAACACAGGTCTTCCCCACCCCCCCAAATACCCTTTGGTTCTCTTTTGTAGTTATTTCTATTTATTTATAGTTTTTGCTATAGAACGTGTGAGCTCTCCAGAGACAAAGAGGGAAAGTAAGAAATCACCCCCAAGTGGGAATGGCCAAGCCCCAATTCCTTCTCCTCCATTCTCCTCTTGGGATTTTTGAGCACACATGCACACAATCCAGCCACCAGATCTGGGACCTGAACCACACAGTTGACCATGTAGGATCCAGCAGCCTTAACTATCACACCACCAGCTGGCTCTGCAGTCACTCCAAAGTTTCAGCTTCAAAGATGTAGACCTCTAAATATCCTTGTACTAAAACACTGTTATCTTTTCCTATCTCTTGTACATTGAAGATCCTAAGCGGCTCTAATTTTATATTAAAGAAGGAATTATTTGGTAACTTTTCAGTGAGGTTTTCACTAATCTTTCTCACAGATACTGCTTTTTGTGATGCTCCAAACAGGCAGATATTATTTGGGGCAAATTGAGAATTATAGAATATTAAGTGGATGAACAGATATTAAGTGATTTTCTTTTCTTTTCTTTTCTTTTCTTTTTTTTATTTTCTGGAGAGTTTTTTGCTATAGGGCGTGTGCGCTCACCAGAAAGACAGAGAGACAGTAAGTGAGAAATTATCCCTGGGGGGGATGGCCACGCTGCAATCCCTTCACCTCCATTCTCCTCTTGAGATCTTGGGCACGCACACCAACTGCTGGTCCAAACATTATTTTCTATATGCCTTTCAGCTGTCAATTGCCATTCTGCATACGGTCAGTTCTTTGTGTCTATAGGTCTTTTGGAAACTAGTCTATTCTTTTTAAAGAATTATTTTATTTAACTTTTTATTATTTATTTAATTTGACCAAATTGGGACAGAGTGAGAGAGAGAAGGAAAATGAGAAAGCAAGTCGCAGGGCCCAGGACTCAAACCCAGGTCAGCCATGTGGGAGTCCAGCACCCTTAACCACCACGCCACCCACTGGCCCTGACAATTTTTTTAAAGATTTAATTTTATTTATTATTATTATTTTAAAAAAATTTTATAGAGCATGTGTACTCACCAGAGAGAGAAAAAAGAACAGAGAGGAAAAGTTTTCTTTTTATTTTTTTAGAGAGAGATTTTTGCTATAGCTGAAGAGACAGACAGAAAGTGAGAAATCACTCCTCCCAGGGAGGCTAGCCACACTGCAGTCCCTTCTCTATTCTCCTCTTGGGATTTTGGGAATGTAAGCACACAAGCCCAGCATGAGTTTTAAGCTGCCAGGTCCAGGACTCGAACCACTGTTGACTACATGGGTCTAGCAACGTAATCATTAATGCCATCTGCTGGTCCTGAGAGAGAGAAAGTGAGAAAACAATCCCTGCCAGATCTAGGACTTGAACCATGGTCGGCCATATGAGAGTCCAATGCCTTAACCACCAATGCCACCTGCTGCCACTCCCCACCCCCAGCAACTAATTTTAAAGAGAGGAGAAAATCTGAGATGGGGTCTTCATTGATCAACTGTGTTACTTGTTCATTGTCATTTCTTCAAGCTCTCACTTCAATTCTTTCAGGTTCTGTAGGCTGGTTTACATGCATACTTGGTCCTAGTATTTTCACTGAGCACATTGGTGGTGTAGGACATTTTTATTTTCAGGTAAGAATGATTTTTAAGTTTAAAGAGTAGTTGTCACACAGAGTCTCCTGAATGAAATGTCCTTAGTTTAACTTACCTCTGCAATCAGGTCGTGTAGCTCTCCTTCACTGGGGCAGCAGCCCAATGACCTGATAATTGTTCCAATTTCTCTAAAAACACACAAAAAGGTTGTCAATAGTTTTAGAATACAAATTCTGAAAGGCAAGTGCTATGTTTCTCCAAATTATTTTGTAACACAGTAAAATCGAATCACTGAAATATACCTCCTGATTATAAAAGATACTTTCTGAGGAAAGAAAAAGGCAGATGGAACCAAAAAGAGATAGAAGAAATGTGTTCACTGCTTGGCTAATGCAAGTTCTGCTTGGGTCAAAATCAAGAAATTTTAGAAAAAGAAGAGAAAGGAAAGTTAAAAAAAAAAGAAATGTTAGCCTCTTACCACTGATTTTAAGTGTTACCTTACTCTCTTGAGCCCTACTTTCCACATCTATAAAACAAACCCCAGATGTTTGTTGTAAAGTTTCTGTTAGTAGCAGAGTACTTAAACACATGGCCTCTAGGGTCAATCTTCTACAGTTCAAATCCCAGCTCTGCGACTTGCTAGACTAGGCAGGTTGCCGACCTAATCCCTGTGTACATAAGGTCCCTGGTAGATAAAACACATTCTCTTCCTCGAACACTTAGATCTGTGCTGGCACATGGTAAAGGTCTAATACGAAGAGCTAAAATACAGCTTTTGGCAGAATAGCCACTCAATAAATACTAGTTACTGATCCTCCCCCACTTAATGATATAATTTAATTCAACAAATAACCTAAAACTATAATTCTATTCAATAATCTATGGCTACTAAGTCAGCAATTTTATAATAGATTATTAAATAATTCCACTCAAAATTATTACAATTAAATTTGTAATATTTGGGACCAGTAGTTAGCGTAATGGCTGTCGCTGAACTCCCATGTAGCTGACCGTGGTTTGAGTCTCAGACCCGGTGGCTTAAGCTTATACCAGGCGCATGTGTGTGCATGCCCAAGATCCTGAGAGGAAAATGGAGGAGAAGGGATTGTGGTGTGGTCCCTTGGGGGGTGATTTCTCGCTTTCTATCTCTCTGTCTCTCTGTCTTTCAGGTGAGCTCATGCGCCCAATAGCAAAATCTTCTCCAAAAAAAAAGTTGTAATACTCGAATGTTGATTTAATTTTACATATATTCACTCAACTAGAATATCTCATTTCTTTACCATTCTGTATTAGTTAGTGGAATTATATTCATTGCCTCTGTTACTGAGAAAATGTTTTAAGTAAGAATTTTTTAATTCTTCACTTAAAGAGGTTGCAGGATGAGTATCAACTTAAGAGAAAAATGTGAAGGGAATAATTAGAAGAAGGATTCTTTTTTTTTCTTTTCCTTTTTTTTTTTTTTAAGTTGCCAGAGAGCACGTGTACTCACGAGAGAGAGAGAGAGAGAGAGAAAGAGAGAGAGAGAAAGGGACAGTGATGAAATACCCACTAAAGGGATGTGATCACACCACAATCCCTTTTCCATTTCTTCATTCTGTTGGGATTTGGGGCACACATGCATGTGAGCCCAGTGTGTTTTACAAGCTGCCAGGGCCAAAACTTTTTTTTTTTTAAAGATTAATTTGACCAGAGAGATACATATATATAGAGAGAGAGAAAGAGGGAAAGTGAGAAAGCAAGCCACCAGGTCCAGGACTCAAACCATGGTCAGCCATGTGGGAGTGTCCAGCACCTTAACCACCATGCCACCTGCTGGTCCCGACCAGGGCCGAAACTTTAACTGCATGGTTGGCCACATGGGATCCAGCTCTTTTCACCACTATATCATAGATCCAGTCCCTTTACTTTATTATTTATTGATTTTCCTTCACAATAAATGAAGGGGACCAGCAGGTGACATAGAGGTTAAGGTGTTGGATCATAGGGCCAGCACTACATGGTTCAAATCTCAGACCTGGCAGCTTGAAAAATCATGCTGGGTGCACACAAACACATGTGTGATCAAAATCCTGAGAAACCAGGAAAGGGATTATGGTGTGGCCATCCTCCCTAGGGGGTGATTTCTCACTTTCCCTCTCTATCTGCGATTGCACATGCCCTATAGCAAAAACTAAAATAACTGCAACAACAACAACAAAAAAAACGAAGGGCCCACAAAACATAGAATGTCTTGGGAACCAGCAGTTAGCGTAATGGCTACGTTGCTGGACTCCCATGTAGTCGACCGCGGTTCATGTCCTGGACCCGGTGGCTTAGAACTCACGCCGGGCGCATGTGCTTGCGTGCCCAAGATCCCGAGAGGAGAATGGAGGAGAAGGGATTGCGGTGTGACCATCCCCCGCTGGGGGGGTGATTTCTCACTTTCTGTCTCCCTGTCTCTCTCTGTCTGTCTGGTGAGCACACGTGCCCTATAGCAAAAACCTCTCAAAAAAAAAACATAGAATGTCTTCATGTCAACTATTTTCATAGCTCCCTGAGTACCTTCGTCTCAACATTACTGCATTATCTTCCATGCCCTTATTGCTCACCTGAGCAGGACCTGAACACAATGGTGTTTCCTTCTTACGTTAATACTGTACCTAAGGCAGCTATTTTACATTCTGGTAGCTTAAGTACTGTATATGAAATTATGACACAAGTTCTATACCTTAATAATAATTAATTGGGCCAACCACATAGTGCAGTGGTTAAGGTGCTGGATTTCAAATGGCCCACCATAGTTCAAATTCTGGCCCCCGTGGCTTGAAAAACATGCCAAGTGCATGTGTGTGCATGTCCCAAATCCTGACAGGATAGAAGAATGGATGAAAGAGGATTTGTTACATGGTCAAGTCCCACCGGGAGAAGGAGGGTGTTCTTTCTCCTTCTCTGTCTGTCTGTCTGTCTGTCACATACCCCTTGACAACCGAAAAAAAAAATTGATTTGACTTAGCAAAGTAAAGAATTGTAACTTGGAGGCCAGCAGGTGGCATGGTGATTGAGACCATGGACTCCCACATGCTGACCGCAGTTCGAGTCCTGAACCTGGTGGCTTACCTTCTCACTTCCCTCTTTCTCTCTCTCTGTTTCACTCTCATCAAATTAAAAATAATAATAAATAAAATAGAATAAATAGCTATTTAAAAAAATAATTGTGACTTATCTATTACCTTCATTTTTATCCCCTAAGTTTATTTCTTTCTTTTTATGAGAGAGAGAGAGAGGAGAGAGAGGAAGAGAGAAGAGAAAGGTGCCCATACCAGGGTCTCCCCATGCTGCAGTCTTCCTCCCAACCAGCCATTCCCCTGTGTAGCACAAGATAAGGTTCTCTGCTGAGAGTGACTGGGAAGGAGGAGATGAGATCATCTTGGCTGTTCCTGGGCACTCTTCTTAATCACCAGCACACTACTAGTCTTTCCAGGCACCTATCCATCCACCCATCCTGTCTCTCACACTAAGCCTGCAATGAACCTGCAGTTTTGGACATTTCTGTATGGCCCTCCAGAGTCCCTCTCCATTCCTCCCACCCTGCCCAGTTTCCCTAAAGGACTGACCACTATTTCATTGGGCTCCCTTGCCTCCACTTGCTGCTGTGCTTCATCAGCACTAGACCTAGCACTGCTGTCTCTGTCACTGTGTAACAAGCCACCCAAAGTGTAATGCCGTAGTCAAGTGTGATTTATGACTTCTCACAATTCTGCAGATTGGATGGATGCTTCTTCCACTGATCTCAACTGGGCTCATTCATGAAGTCATTTAGCAGTTCATTAATTTACATGTTTACTTAGTATTCTATAGTCAGCCAATCAAAGTTACTACTATCACTATCCTGAACCCTACGCCCGTTTGCTTTCCATCCTGCCTAACCTGTTTTTTTTGTTTGTTTGTTTTATTTTGTTCTTGTATTTTCTTTCTCTCTCTCTCTCTCTCTCTTTTTTTTTTTTGTAAAGAATTGTTTTATTTGGGACTAGCAGTTAGCGTAATGGCTATGTCGCTGGACTCCTATGTAGTCGACTGTGGTTCGAGTCCTGGACCTGGCAGCTTAAACTCACGCTGGGCGCGTGTGCGTGTGTGCCCAAGATTCCAAAGGAGAATGGAGGAGAAGGGATTGCGGCGTGGCCATCCCCCCTGAGGGGTAATTTCTCGCTTTCTGTCTCTCTGTCTCTGTCTGTCTGGCAAGCGCACGCGCCCTATAGCAAAAACCTCTCAAAAAAAAAGAATTGTTTTATTTAACTTTATTTATTTATTTTAATTTGACCAGAGAGGGACAGAGAAAGAGAGAGAGAAAGAGAGAAAGCAAGCCACCAGGTCCAGGACTTGAACCACAGTTAGCCATGTGAGAGTCCAGCGCCCTTAACCACCATACCACCTGCTAGCCTCCCTGCCTATTCTGTTAAACCATAACCACAAGAAACTCTAATTTTCACTTTCTTTGCTCCTAAGGAGCCCTGCCTGAAGAAAACAATTAGCAGAAAAAACAGTGGCCCACTGCAGATTCGCATCAACATTCAGTATATCCTGGCTGTGGCCTAACGATCATTTCATACACCTCCTGTGGCTTTCCAGCAAATCCTCCCACTCCCTACACAGCTATTCTGGATCATCGCTGGCCTGCGGCATCAAGGCACCAACTCTCTTCATCTCAGCAGAAGTCCTTCTGGCCTACTTCCCTGAACAGATACAAATGCACCATCACCAGGCACTAGATTAACCCTTAACCCCCTTTACAATCATTCCTCTGCACCACTTGGAAACATTAACCCTGCCCTCAAACCCCATTTATAATCGTTCCTCTGTACCACTTTAGAGGCTTCTGCTACACAAGCCTCTTATTCTTCCTTGTGTTCTTGCCTTAGAGGAATAAAATGGCCTCTTCCTTAATAAAGCAAATCCCTCTTAGTTTTTCTTAGTTCCAGTCTTGGCTCTTGTTCCTGACACACTCACCCCTCTCTCTTAGCAGATTCATTCTTCCCTTTAGTCATTGGTTGCTTCTTCTTTTGCCTTCAAATATTCGTGTATCTTTCCTATTTTGAAAAATATTATTGATAGGTGTTTACCACCCCACCCATCCTGTTTCCCTGCTTCCTTCCACCAATCACAGGTGCTTGTCTTTGTCACTGTCAGCTCTGCTTCCCCTGCACCCACTCCA